AGCATCAGGAATAGGGAGGGGTTGTAGTAAGCCTGGGGTGGCTACTGTCTCACTTTTGTGACGTTGGCAAACATCATATTCAGTAACAAATTTCTTGATAAAATTTTTCATACCTTTCTAGTAAAAAAGTTGTCGAACTCACTTATAAGTGCGGAGAAATCCCGAGTGACCAGCAATTGGTGATGAATGGAACTCCTTCAGAATTATTGCTTGGCAAGAAGAATGTGGGGCAACCACTATTCGGCCTTTATAGCGTAAGTCCACCGAATCCCAACTATAATTTGAGACAGAACTTGGGGCTTCTTCTAATCTTTTAATGATGTTTTGGATCTCAGGATTATTTATCCATTCCCTTCTGATAACTTCCAAAGTCTCGCAAATAGGAATAGAAATAGCTACTAGTTCAGCTTGTTCTGGAAGGCGTGAGAGGGCATCTGCTACTAAATTCTCACTCCCCTTTTTTATAAATGATCTCATAATCGAATCCCAGTAGCTTTGTGACCCATTTCTGTTGCTCTGGAGAAGAAATCTTTTGCTCTAGAAAATATTTGAGGCTTTTGTGATCAGTGCGTATTTGAAACCATCGACCAATTAGGTAGGGTCTCCATTTTGTGGTTGCATAAGTGATAGGCCGACCTTCCTGCATTAATACAACCCCTATTCCAGCTCCAGAAGCATCAGATTCAATCACAAACATCTTATTAAAATTGGGTAAAGCCAACATGGGTGTAGTAGTCATTGCAGTTTTCAAGAATTGAAATGCCTGAGTTGCCTCTTCTAACCATCTGAATGCATTTTTCTTTAGAAGCGACGTCAAGGGGGCATTAATTTTACCATAATTCTTCACAAACTTTCGATAATAGCCTGTTAGTCCCAAGAACCCCCTTAAAGCTTTGATTGACTTTGGAATTGACCAGTCTGTCATCACTTGGATTTTTGAAGGATCAACTGCAACACCCTTTTGAGATATGATATGGCCGAGGTACTCAACCTCAGGTTGCCCAAAACTGCACTTGGATTTCTTGACAAAAAGACCATGCTCACGAAGAATATTAAAGACAATTCGTAAATGTAATAAATGACTTTCTAGAGAATGACTGTATATTAAAATATCATCAAAGAAAACCAAAGCAAACTTACGGAGATGAGCCCGAAATATATCATTCATTAGACTCTGGAAGGTAGAAGGCG